CATTCTTTCATTCATTCATTCATTCATTCATTCATTCATTCACTCCTTTTTCATTCATTCATTCATTCATTCATTCATTCATTCATTTATTCTTCCATTCTTTCTTTCTTTCTTTAAAGACATAAAATAATGCCGCCACTGACATTCATAAAGCAATGTACTCTACGTGAATAAACTCAACTTACCTGTCATAATAACGGTTTCCATAATGACCAGGCGCGTAATGCCAGACCGGTTCAGCTGCAAAATACAAGAGACACACCTGGTTAGTAAAATAAAGCAAACATTAAATATTGGGAATTTTCACAAAACAATATCTACCTTAGATTGACTATGCTTTAAAAAATTGGTATCGAGCCGTTATCCGCACTCTGATCAATGATTGAAAAGAGTTGTATTTATATCACTACCCACACCGCGTAGACTGCGACCATACCGCTGTATACAGCCTCTGTTTCAAAACGAGTTCCACGGAAAACTTTTCACGTGGAAATGTTAATTTGCATGAAAATTAACCCGCGGGTGAAACACGTTTTCGCACGAACACTTGTTTTGGTAACGACGCAAACTTGTGCAGGAAAATTGTCCTTTTTCTCGCTTAAATTTCGCGATTTTTGAGTAATTTTTAAATCTTCTAAATGGTATCTAGAAGATATGAAAGGAGAATTGAAATGTTGCGCTTGAGTGTCAGAGTAGGCGCCATTAATGTGTAAATCTAAATTCTCTTGGTAAATATTGTAAGAGAGTAAATGAAATATCACTCAGTTGTGCGATGGAACGCCTGATATCCTGAAGACTGTTTCATTAAAAATATTAAAAGCGTCGCCGGAGGGAAAGTGAATAAGTGGTATTCGAACATTTTTGAAATATTGAAAGTGATTTTCAGTAGATGATGAATACTAATTCTTTTCGAATATTAGATAAATGAATGCTATTTCACACAAGCGCGCAAAAATGCAGTTACCGTGAGAGGTATTATGCAGAGTTCAGAAAAGTGGGCTTTCATACAAGGTGACAGAATAAGTAAATATTTAATCCCAATTTTCTAAAACTCTTTTGTATCGACTGAACTTTAGGCTTATTTTCTCCTCGTTGCCTGGCGACATGTTTCTTATCTGCTTGCGCGATCACATATCTGGCAATTACGAGCTAGAAAGTGATATTGACCGTTTGACCGTAATCAAGTTGATTACAAATTCTGGGAATTTTTTAAGCCACCATTGGCCTCTCCCAAATTGTTCTGTTTTTTTTTGTTTTTTGTTTTGTTTTCATTTGAAAGTAAAATTAGCACTCAATCTTGAATATTGAGGACTTTGCACTTTGATATTACTGCGAAGTCAGTCGAAAGTGAAACACACGTGGCAACGACTGAAAGCACAGGTCTTTCAAGCTCCTTGCTTGATCACCCCTACAGCGTGATAGCAAAAAAATACATGTACGAGAGTTTGTATGGGAATGTTGTAAGGGAATGTAAGATCGTTCGTCCGGCTCAAATTACTTGTCAACCCAGTGCTCGAAGGGATTGTATTTAGCCAAACGATGAAATGTAGGGATATGTTTAGAAAAAATTATAAATATGACTATAACTCGCTGAAGTATTCCGAAAACGGCATAACGTTCCAAAGCAACGCAACCAATACCCTAAGGAAGGAAGGGTTTTCCCTTCCGTTATTCTAGGGGTTATTCTAGGCGCATTTCCATAGAAGCTTTTTTACATGAGTTTTAACGCTGTTTGGCAACGTCGTGTACCCACTGTCACGCGATCAGCTTGGGAAGCCTGTGGCGAAACAAAACTAAAGTTCCCTTGCACCTGACAGTTGGTCTGGTTTCTGACTCTGTGATCAAGCGAGGCCATCCGCTTGGTAACAAGTTCGACGGCCTAATTATTTATTATTTATACTATATCACATGGTTCCCACGAGGACTCTGCGCTCGTTTAAAATTTTACACCACTCGTGAACCACTGAAGAAATGCTATGCTGTCGGCGTTTTTGTCGTGCAGGAGGGGAATTTCAAAACTGAAATTTCAAGAAGTACTTCTTTTCAACAATGCATTCAATATGATGTGATCAAAGTCCACTTTGAGAGGCGAAATTCTCTCTTTGGCGAATTCGTCTTTTGATAAGAATTCGACAGTTAAGCAATTTATGAAAGTGCAAGATGCTGTTCTGAAGGTAACATTAAAACTTATTTTAGTATTTTGCCTAATTCCATTATATTTTAATCCCCACAGAAAATGAAATAAGTATTTCCACGTGGTTGATAGTAAGATCACTGAACGCTTTTTTATTCAGCTGTATATTTGCATAAAAAGCGCGGTTTCCATTGACGTCTATTCACAATAAATATCATGAATGGTGCAAATATGACGCTTGAGGGGCGGGCAGTTATGCGTGACGCCAGTCATAGTAATTTCACTTTAGCATGTGGGAGGTTAAGTATCACCGGGAGAAAGTACTTTTACTTGCTAGTAGTTTTACTGGGCATGTGTCTAGCAAAAAACGAAATTTTATATAAAAAAATATCTATAAATCTTCAAAAAAAGTCAAAAACATTATTTAACTTGTTGAATACTTTTTATATTCACAACGTTTTTTCAAAAATATTGGTGAGAATTTTTTTCGGCCGTTCTCGCGTTTAGTGGCGAAGAAATTATAGTATGTAATTATTCACCCACCGGTTTCGCCCGATTTGATTTTGGCTGCTAAAATACTAGAGGACTTATTTTCTGTCTGAATGGATAGGAATGACTGTATAGTTCAACATACCAACTCCGAAGTAGAATAGGCCGATCCCTATGCCAGCGGCAAACAGCATGGTGAAGTACGACGCGTCTTTGAATTCAGGTTTTTCATCCGGTTTTCCCAGTTTCATGTTGCCGTATTTGGAGAAGTACAGGACGATAATAAACACAGCCCAGGCGTCTTGGGTGCCGATGTACATCCAGGTAAAGGTTTGGGTGATCCAGGTTTTCCACTCTCCCATTTTTTTATTCGCTGCTTCTGGCTCGGTCATACACCACACGACAAAGCCCCAGATAATCAAAGCTGAGACGAAGGACACAACTGGATTTAGACGAATGTTGATTCCAAGATTGGAACTTCCCATTTTGCACCATTTCCAGTTAACGCGAAACCAGCGACATCTATTAGCCGCATCCTCTTGTTCACTGCCAGCACTGCTCGTATCCATTTTTAGTTCGCCGGTTCGTTTTCGACAGTAACGTGTCTTTGATATAACTACCGGTCCTCGCTTCTTTTAGCGCGCTTTTATGCAGGTAATTTATTAATATATTCGAAACTGATATAGACATGACAGGTGGCTCGCTTCGGCGCAGGTGACCACCACGGCTTTGGCAGAGCAGGAATCGGCCGAAATCCGTTGTTGTCTTGTTTGTGTGTAATTTTACTTTCGAGGAGTAAGATCAGACCGGAAGACCATTTTCGCCCGTACTATTACTGGAAGCTTTTACGGTGAATTTTTTACCAGCAAAATTATTTTCTGTTCACACCATACACCATGTTTTTAGAGTTAGAAGGATTAAAATCTATTTGCTTCAAACGTAGAAAAGAGAAATTAAACAGAGGGTTAACCCTAACAGCGAAAATTTCAATGCAAAGTCAGGCGTTTATTTCATGGGGTAAATAATTTCACTTGATCACAGGAAACGTTTTCAATTTGAACTGATTCCACCGACCTTCGGTTGAACTGTTTCTCGTGCTATGACATGTTTACTTTAGTATTACAATTATCTACGACGACAGTCTCGTGAGCTTAAAGCTCTCAGTATTATGCTAACTTTTTATTCATTTTTATATTTCTAATTTTCTCGGCATTTCTCGCCTCTGGCAATGTCTCGGCGTACTGATCCACTCTTCCGATTTCAATTGTAGGCCAAGCCGTTCGGAAATTTGTGATGATCAATTTTACTGTGTAAACAATAAATAACATACTCTTTCATGCACTGATGCGTGGGCGGCTTGCCTTGATTTGCATTTCATGACTGTAACGAACAAAGGCGGGAAATTTATTAACGCCGATCGCTTCCAATGACGTGCTACAATCGCTGAGATCGCTGCAAAAAAAATTCCAGCGGTCGTTGTGATCATACAGCGATATTTGTGGCGACGATCGCTATTAAGATACATAGTAACATACTAATTCAGTCAGTCTAGCCAACGATCGTAGCGGTCATATTGAAAGAACTCTCCGGAGGCTGTATGTGGAGCGTCTTTCTTTGACCCAGGTCTTCACGCGTATTTTTATTCTGTAATGATAATGGCGATCGTATGAAAACTTGTAGCGATAAGGATCGTTCAACGTTTTTCTGGAGCGACCGTGGGTCGTAGCGATTGTGAAAACCAGCCTTTATCAGATCAAATGTTATGTCAGCATTTTCATTGCTGCGGTCGAAATAGTTTCCACAAGTATGGAACATGATAATCAATGAATTCGATTAAATATGAAGTAAAATTCGCAGTTCAATCAAGGATTATCGCGCGGACCAAATAAACTAGGTCAAGTTGAACCAGTGACGTTAGTGACTGTATTGACATCTTCCCACGTATGAATTGTTAATGCTTTGAGTGAAGTGCAGCTGGATGTGGGCGAAAGCTGAACGATCGAGTTTCAGATGTTAAACTAAGTTCATTGATTTCGTCCGTATAAGAGTTCATTTTTATAGTTGAACGATGCCCAAGACAGTTGTGAGAACTCATAGCGTTCACGTTAGTGTAACGCAATCCTAATCCAGTTTGTCTCGAGAATTTTTCTTTTGTTATTTAACTGTACAGAAAGTTAAACAAAAGACTTCTTTGTTTCACCAGCCAAAAGATGTTTGGTTGGTATTTCAATAACAATAGATGAAATCATTGATATCTTTGCTACACATTAGACGTTGGTAAACTCGTCACGGTCAAACTTAGCTAAACACGTGACGTGTTTCCACGATGGCCCAGTCACGAGCCCGTGACGTATACTTACGTGACGATCAGTATCTGTAAAAGTACAGCCATGTTTGTGTTTATGTATAGACCAGCAACGTTCACATGGATTTCTGATGACATGTGTGTCTCATTTATCCGTGACTCTCCGTAGTTAGATCTGTGAGGAGTTATAGCTACAGCTATCGCCAACTGTGTGACAGTTTATAGATCTGATGGGATGGTTTATGGTCAAAACTGCGAACACTGGAAACAAACACGAGACTTCAGTTCGTAAGCAGTGCAGTATTTTTAATGCCCATTTAAGACTAAAAAGATCTTTTCGAAAGCTGTTGGCTGAAGGAAGACAGCGAATATAATTGCTTTCGATACATAAATTTGTAGAAACACGATTAAGTCCGATCAGCTGCCGGCTCTGCACGTCTCCACACGTCTCTACAGCTTGCGGCTGAGCTAGCGCGGTGGGCTTATTTGTATTTAGGCTATCGAGTTGACCTGACAATATTACCCCGCGTACCTGTTGAAGTAAAAGAGTTCTTCGTAAATATTAAGGTGGTTAGACTTTGTTCTGACTACAACTGCATTATTTTTCTCGCAATATGCAAATTTGCTTTGTTTTCAACTGAGAATGATTGAACTCCATCATGCGGTCGGTTTACACGAGAATAATAAGGGCAGCTTAATTTTGGCAGACTTAATTGTTTCTCTTTGTTTTCGGAAGTAAGCTACTCAAAAGAAAGAAAGCACTCATGTGTAAACAACACCTTTTTCACATTTTGTGTAGGTACTTGTACTTTTCTTAGGTTGTGTTCGGGGAAAATCGACGATCCCAAAACGGATTTCGCGTTTCTTTACTAAACAGGATCACTCGGATCATGGTGCATCAAAGGAACTAGCCCAGGTAGCTGGCGGGATTGCTTTT